AGAGAATACTACAAACATTTGCATCCATCATGCATATAATAAGATACTATATCATGGACAATGTGTCATAACAAAATTTTTATCGCTAGTATGATAAAAGTTTATTGCATACTAACAAAGTTTACGATTTACATAAGGTTATTAATAAAATAAATGAGCATAAGCAACCCAAAAATTATGCAACAATTAATATTGTAGAACTAACTAACTAAATATCACATCATATTAATATGAATCATGAATCACTATGAATGAATAAAGTATGTATCAAAAAAAAAGAAAAAAAAAAAAGCAAAAAACAAAACAAAAGAAGAAGAAGAAGAAGAAGAAGAAGAAGAAGCCTGCAACAAGTGTTAAGGAAAGTGCTCCTACCAATGAAGGGTATATTCATCCTTTAACAAGTAAATAATCACCAACTGCACACAAATTGAGATGGCTCAATGACAACCCTTATATTATTTGGCCTCAATTATGATACTCCACAAACCTAGGATTCAAGAGAATCAAGGTCAAACATACCCTTAATACATTGCACGACAAAGACTCAATAACTAAAACAAACAATACAAATATTTTTATAACCAAGACTTCCAAAAATTTCCTGTAATTTATAATTGATTAACTAACTAGGTTTAGTTTCACTTGCCATCTTTTATCTTAGTTAGGATTTGAAACCTAATGGTAAATTTATCACCAACTATTAATTGAATTAATTCAACATGATTAATAAGGAAAACATCAAAAGTTCTTAGCTTATTTATATCAATTAATGTAAAAAGAAGACGAGGAAGCCTTCTCAGGAATGTTCTCTTCGATACTCATCCATAGGTAAGTTATCTCGTGGCCGAGCTCTTCCTTGTGAGGTTGTCCACTCAAACATTTGGGGTCCTACTCCTAGCTCACCTAGGATTTTGCTTTTTTGTCACATTTATTGTTAATTGTTCACTAGTCACTTTGGTTTATTTGCTCAAATGTCACTTAAAGGTTCTTCACACATGTCATACTTCCATCATGAAATAAAGGATTATTTTTTGCATCTTAATCAAAACTTTAGGTATTGATAATGCTTTTGAATTTATGCAATTTTAATCTCATGCTTGCTCTGTGATTTATATTATTCATTAATTCTCATGTCCTAATAAATTTTAATAAAAAATCACCATATTCTTGATTTTGCAAGGGCATTTGTGCTTATGTGAATGTCTCTCATAGTTTAGAGGGGTTGAAGTTTTAATAGCCACTCAAAAACTGTGCCCCTCCACTATTCCCAATAATGTTTTACCATTATCCACGTTTTATCTCAATGAAACTGTTTTTTCCATTACAACTAACGTATTTGGTCGCATTTGTTTTCTTTATGCTCTTAATTTGCATGATAGACTCTATCCTTGTGTTATTTGATGTATATGTTTTGTTATTCTATCACTTAAGGAACGATATATATGTTTATGTTCTTTTACGTGACATTATACATTGATCGATGTAACTTTTAATTAACTCACACTTTTCTCTATGCTCCTTTTGAGCCATCTTAATTGCATATTCCTTGCTTCCATAAGCTCCTATACTTACCTCAAACCCTCCAAAGGATTACTATCGATAGCTTTGGCTATCCTGCACAACAACATCTCCTACCTCCAGGGATGTAAATGAACTGAGTGTTCAACAAGTTATTTGTGTCTGGACTCGATTACAACTTGTTCATGATAATTTGTTTAAGTAATTAAACAAATTTGAATATATTTTAAAATACTTGATTGTTAAATAAAGTTTAACAACTATATGTTTGGCTTGTTTATATTCATGAACAATATCAGTTAAGGCTCATAAATAAGCTCATTGAGAAACTTGATATAAAGCTCATTAAGAAGCACAATTAATATTTAATATAGAGCTTGTGAATCGTTAACAATTGATTAAGTCTTGTTATAATTATTTATTTGGTATTTTAACATGATTTTTAATTTTATTATAATAAACAACTCTTATTTTATAACATTTTTTATACCTTTTGAATAGAATGAATTTGTTCATGAACTAGAGGTACTTGTTCATGTTTGTTAGATTGTTTGTTTTAAGTGTTTATTAACAAGCTTGTTTATAAGAAGAATTATTTTCTAAGCTCATTTGTTCATGAATAGACTCTTTTGATTTCTTAAAAACATTCACTAGATATGTTCGTGAATAGACTCTTTTGGTAACTCGAAAATACTTGCTTTATATGCTCGCAAAAAAGGTTCTAGGTAATTATTTGTTATTAGGCTCGATAAAACTCATTTTTTTAAGCTATAATGTGTTCCCTGTTTTTCCCCTCTTAGTTGTTTATGTTGTGGTTGTTATTGAGGGATATTATTGTCTTTCATTTTTTTCCTGTTTTGGCCCTCTACTTATGTGATGTGTCATGGGTATTATTGTCTTTTGGTTTTTCCCTTTGTTTGGGCCTATATATATGGCTCCACCCCCTCATATAATATTTTGGATGTTTATGTTATAAAATTATGATTTTGTGTGATCTTGTTCTCTTGGAGAATTGAGAGTGTGCGCGTGATAAGTCCTTGGAGAAGGCAAAGCATCACCCAACAGCCTTTGGGCTCTTGGTTTTTATCTAGCCAAATGCCCAACCCCCATCTCCTGCACCAGCCTAGCGTCTCCCCACCTCCACTAACAGCTCCTACAGTCCACAAAATTCTCTCTCCACCAACGACAAATGCCCTTTCATCTTCTCTTGTGACTTTTAATATTCCAGCATTAAATGCACTTGAACCCTTGGTATTCCCAAGCATAATTAATGTGGAAATCAATTTGGATTTTCATTTAATTTGTTGAATTTTCAAATCACCTTTCCATCTTCCCAAGCAATCCTCATTAAGTTTCAACTTTTTCCCTTCCAAAGCCAAACATCAATTCTCCCACTTACCCATGCACAATTAATTACAATTCAAAGCTTGTAATTAATTGGTCAAACCTTCCTTAATTACTTTTCCCTAATCCCTAGCCTACCCACTCCTCTTCCCATGTGCTGCCATTAATTCCCAAGCAATTCCCGAAGCTCCACTTAATGTCGCCTTGACTACCTTCCCCTTTCCCAAGCTGGCCGGCCCCTTTCACTTCCCTCTTCCACTTCATTTCATCTCCAAATGACTATTTTTCTCTCCGATATCAGCCACACTCAAAGGAGAAAACAGTGAGCATTCACATTTAAATTCAGCCAACATCAAGGAGGAATCCCATAGAAATCTGAGAGCATTTTGCAAGAGAAGCAAGTATATGAAGATAGCCATCAAGGAGCCCAACTACTTTATTATTGAGCTAAGCATCTAAATCATTCTCCTCTTAGCTAGATACTTGGTTCTCCTTTCTTCTTGGTAACATTGTTACAAGTTTGTTATTTTATCCAGTCTTAGTTCTACTTAAATTTGAGAGAAAGAACCTCACTTGTATTGTCCTTTGTTGAATGTTGTGTTTGTGCCGATTTATATGAGTTATGTCTTAATTATCTTATCCTTTGCAATGTCAAGCCATTACATACAAGTGTTCAAGTAACTTCACATGTTTCTAATTCAAATGGCTTACCGTTCATACTGTTTTGCAAAGTTTATGTTGATGCGTTTTAATTAATTCTAGCAAGAAATCTCTCTTTGCGAGACTTGATCATTCATTCATGCATAACATACACAAATAAAATATGAATATTTATCATTTTAAACGAACCAAGTTTGAATACAAACATAAAAGCATGAATCGAGCTCAAACCCAACTTAAACAAGCTGATAATAAACGAGCTCATATATGAACGAGCACCTATTCGACTTGGCTCTGTTCATTTGCACCCCTATCATCCACATTATTAGATCTAAATAAGAATCCATCTGTTGATGAGCTATGGGATTTACCTTTATCCATAGCTTGATGAAAAGATAAAATTGAATATATTGCTCAGTACTTGCGCGTGCGCGCCCACACACACATCTATATATATTATCATTTGATAATTTATTTTCTTCTTGTGAATTTACCTTACCCTTATTAATTGTCTTTATTTCCAAGGCACATTAGGAAGTGCTATAGACTCCTTTATGAAAACAAATTATGAAAGTTTGAATGGGCGCTTTACTTGGTCTCCATATATTGGGTTTTGGTTATTCATGATTGCTTTTTGATGGATGCTCATGTTCAAATTTTATCCTGATTGTTCAATTGATACAAAATTTGGCTAGTTGCAAAATGACTTATGCATATATATGGAATAGGCTATTTTGACACTTTTTCAATTAGTTGTCTGACAAAACTTTGTTAGAATTCTATCATTTGTGATCATCAATCAAGGATGGATTATGCTAGAAATGGATGTGAGTAGTGACTTCCTATATGAGGTCTTGAATGAGAAAATTTATATACCTTCTGGTTATTGCTCAGGGGATAACCACTGTCTACTTAGGAAGATCATCCAGGTTCACCACAAAGTTGGTTTGAAAAAGCCTATTTGGTCGAGATTGGTCTTTGCAGTAGCATTGTGGAGTATCTTCATTAAGCATATAGACCTTTTGGCTCTGTCATACTTATTGGGAGTGATTAGAGTGGCATATACAAAATAAATTGGGATAACCAAAGTACTTTCTTGAAGTTGGGTTTGCTTATATTAAAATGCTTATCAATTTCTTAGAGAAATATGGTACTAATTTTCTAGGTTATAAACTTGTTAATACCCCTATGAAGAATCCACTTCTGATAACATAGAGCTTCTTACTGTTTCATCTCAATATTGAAGATTAGTTTAAAAATTGACTTCTATGACTATTACTACGCTTAATATTTCCACTTCTGATAATATATATATATATATATATATATATATTCCATTTAAAGTACTTTTTAGAACAACTTGTTTTTCTGATCTTTAATCAAGTTCTATAATCCAACGTATACTTTGTCTTCTGTAATGGTGGTTGGTACACAAATATATTGAATGATGTTTCTGAGCTGGTGATGCATTCTTTCAGCGTTGAAGGTTCTTAACAAAGAGGTGATAACAGTTATAGGGCCGCAATCCTCAACAATAGCTCATATTCTTTCATACTTAGCGGGTGGATTTCATATACCACTCATATCCTTTGCTGCTACAGATCCAAGCCTATCTTCCCTTCAGTATCCCTACTTCATCCGCATGACACAAAGTGATTCTTATCAGATGGCAGCCATGGCTAATCTAATTGATTTCTATGAGTGGAAACAGGTTATTGCAGTTTTCATCGATGATGATTATGGGAGGAATGGAATATATGCTCTAGATGATGAGTTAACTAACAAAAGGTTAAAAATATCATATAAAATTGCATTGCCTGTTGGAGCTTCTCGGAATAAAATTTTGGAGTTGCTGCAAAATTCTAAAGCAATTGGTCCACGAGTTTATGTGGTGCATGCTTCACCAGATTCTGGACTTGAAATTTTCCATGCGGCCCAAGATCTTCAGATGATGGCCGCCGACTTTGTTTGGCTTGCAACGGATTGGCTCAGCGCCACTCTCGATACATTTGAGCTTAACAAAACTCACTCATTGGAATATCTGCAAGGTGTAGTGGGCTTTCGGCAATACATTCCAGAGTCTCAGCAAAAGAAAGCATTTGAATCAACATGGAATCGGCTTCATACTAGAGTTTCAAGTTCCAAGCTAAACACATATGGTTTTTATGCCTATGACATTGTGTGGGCTGTTGCCCATGCCATCAATAACTTCCTTGACAATTCTGGGAATATAACCTTCAGCTTGAGCAATCAGATTGGTGATAACAGAGGTCATATGAGGACTGACTTGATCAAAACCTTTGACAGTGGGGAATTGTTACTACAAAATTTGTTAAGCCAGAATTTTAGTGGCTCGTCTGGGCCAATCCTCTTTGGTACCAACCGCAGCCTCATTAGTGGAAACTATGAAATCATCAATATTTATGGCTCAGATATTAATACTATTGGTTATTGGACAAACATTGTAGGTTTGTCCTTTTCTTTCCCAGATACCTCGCATACAAATCGCCAGGGAAATTTCACTGCAAGTAAGGTTCTTCATAAGATTACGTGGCCTGGTGGGATGAAAATGACACCTCGTGGTTGGATTCCTTCGACGCGCGAAAGGCCCCTAAGAATTGGAGTTCCTCGTAGAGTAAGTTATCTTCAGTTTGTGAACATTTTAACAGATAACCATACAGTGCAAGGATATTGCATTGATGTTTTCCGTATGGCTCTGAAATTACTTCCATACGAAGTTCCATATCAGTTTGTACCATTTGGTGATGGTCATATAACTCCAAAATACTGGTCGCTTGTGAATATGGTGGCTAATAATGTGAGTTTTGTACTGCAATCTTATTTTTTTTTTCAATTCCTCTTTTCAGTTATGTTATTGAACCCCCACTATGAAATAATACACATTAGGAAATTGATGCACTGGTGGGGGACATTTCCATCGTCACAAATCGTACGAAGCTTGTAGATTTTACTCAGCCATATATGTCAACTGGCCTTGTCATTGTGGTTCCCACTAGGAGTACCAAGTCAAGTGCCTGGGTTTTCCTTAGGCCTTTTACAGTTGGAATGTGGTGTGTGACTGGAGCTTTCTTCTTTATAATTGGAATTGTAATCTGGATACTTGAGCATAGAGTGAACAGTGATTTTCGAGGTTCACCCAAGCGACAATGCTTGACTATGTTCTTGTAAGTTCTCTATACTTTTATAACTTTGTTTTGTTATTGCATTAAGAATGTGCAAAATAAATATTATTGACATTATTTCATGTGCCAATCATAGATTAGGCAACCGCTTTGGTCATGATCTAGGCCAAAAGGAACATTTTTCAAATAAGTGCGGGATGCATGGGTCTTTTTTTTATTTTTTATTTCTGTTAGGGATGCATGGGTCTTGTTGCATTAGCATTGGCTCAATCTAGTTACTTAATTTAGCCTTTTTACATGAAAAAAAATGTATAAACACGTATGTTAAGAGCATGAGCACGCAACATTAGCAATGCCACATCATAAAATCTATGATCCTTGAAGAAGAGGTTTTTTCCCTGCCCGCCCCAAAATTGGCATGATGGAATTTACTATGGTAAGGTGAGGTTCAAACTCAATAGCTTGACAGCAACTTCCAAGGCCTTTTGATGTAGCACATCAATTTGATCAAGAAAAAGAAGTTAAGGACAATTATAAGAGCTCAAGAAAGTGCTAAACTAAGAGCCCAATCAAAGCTCATCATAAGAGCCCAATCAAGTGTCACGACCCAGCCCGGTGAGCTCGTGTAGACGAGGTGGGAAAGAATGTCAGACGTTCAAAACATGAGATTTTTATAAACATGTATTGAAGAATCTAAAACACTCCAAAAGAAAATTAAAAGCGCCTCTAAACAATTTTCCAAATTATACTAAGTATTTCATATCATTTCATGAAAAGTTTCATAAGTACAAAGGTGGCAAAATATCTCATTCATGCTAAAACACCCAAAAGTTTTTAAACTATAACTAAAAGAAACTTAAGAGGAACCTGTCATCCTGCCCTCTACGACTGTAATTGTACCAAGGACGGTCAGCCATTCCTAGCAGCGAGTTCTCCTAAAAATATCCCAAAACAAGAGAATGAGCTAGAGCTCAATAAGAAACACTAATTCTAACAACTTCATATACCAATTAAATGAAAATCAACATGTATGCTAAAAGTGAGTTAACTCTTCCATATGTTTATGAAATGTAATGATTGTTTTGCTAAGTATCACATGTTAGTTCTTATGTATATGCTAAGTGTCACATGCTAATTCATGTATATATATCTTTTCAACTATGTCATTTCCTTTGTCAAATGTTCTAAAATGAGAGCTTATTCTTTATTTTATACAACCGTACCAGAGTATCAGAAGTATACTGATCAGGTACACAAACATATTTTTGGCCATTTATTTTCCTTTCCTCTTTTGTCTCGAAGAGCCATATTGCTCAAAAGAGCCATATTGTTCTTTTGCACCATATTTGGTACTCCGCCTTCAACATGCGCAATCATTCAACCATCCTTTTCATAGAAACATAGATAGATAGTGTAATATTTTTCATATCAATCATATACCTTGAGTATAAGACACGTTTACATGAAAGAGACTTCTATGCATTGCTTACCGATCAAATAATGAAAACTTTAATATGCATTGATTCATAAAAACATTTAATATACAATTCTATCAAATAATAAGGACATTTCATATGCATTTAATATGTATCAACTAATGAGACATTTCAAAACATAATATAAAGGAATACAAATTTGTAGAGTAAGGTGTTCCTACCTCAAATGTTGCTCCTTGAAAGTGTCGTTTCACCGATCTCTCCTTAATACCTCATCTTTTCAAGTCCTAAGGAAAAGTTACAACATAACAACATAAGCCTTTTATATCAACCCAAATCACTATACCTCACTAAACACCATACACATGCCATTACTTAATTACTCTCCTTAAGCTCATTAATACTCTCTAACTTGCCCATAACCCAAAGCATGTTTATCACATATCTAATAATGTTCATTACATATCCAAATCTTATGCTTTTATATCAATATTTTCCTTAATGATTTCCTTAATGAAATGTATTTTAAATGCTAATTTTCAGATTTACCTAAATTCCAATTTTCGGAACCTAATTCTTCATTAATTTCATTCAATTTGCATGTTAAAACATCTCTCTTACCTAATTATCATTTTAGGGTATTTAATTATCGGATTAGAAAAAAGAAAATATTTTTCTTTCCAAATTTTCATTTTCTCTTATTTAGAGACTTCCCAAGTCTCCTAGGAACAAAATTTGTTAGCATGTAAGCTTAAAATCACAAAATTAGGAAAAAACCTAATTTTAAAACTAAAAAAATCTATAGAAAAAAATCAATTTTAAAAATAAAAAATATATAAAAAATTAATTTCACTGCTTAATCATGCTTCTAAACATTTCCTAACAACATTCCTAAACAAAATGTCATTTTAAAAGAAACCCTAATTTTGGAACCTAAAGTTTTTCTTAAGAAAATTCATTCTTATGACTTAGAAACATGCTCATAAACAAGCCCTATCATTTTTCTAAGAAAGCCCCAACAAAAAGCAAAACCCTAATTATCTTTCTCCAAGAAATCTAAAGAAAAAGAGATGTTTCTTACATGAGAAACTCATCTTTCTTCTTCCCTAAGCCTTCCCTTTCACTTTCTTCCAAAAGCACACCGGAAACTGCTGCCAGATTCGCGAGCTTCCGCCACTCGTCTTCAGTCCGCCCTCTCCTTCGTTCGACCGAGAGAAATGAATAAGGGACCGAAATAATCGGTCTAGGGGTGTCAATTCGGGTCAGCGGGTCGGGTTCGGGTCGAACCTGGAACTGACCCGGCACTATTCGGGTCAACCCCGACCCGTTTTTAAAAAAGGGTCAGGTTTCTGGACCCGAACCCGACCCGATTCGGGTCCGGGTCAACCCGACCCAACACGAATGACCCGAAGTTGACCTAAAATTGCTAATTTTCGGGTCAAAATCGGGTAAAAAACTGGTCAATCTCGAGTTTTCGGGTCAAATATAAGTTTTCGTGTCACTTTCAGGTCAATTTCGAGTTGTTGGGTCAACCCGAACCCGACCCAATTTTTAAAACGAGTTGATTTGTTCAACCCGAACCCGACCTGTTTCGGGTTCGGGTTGACCCGAACTCGGATTTTTCCGGGTCGGGTTCGGGTCGTGTAAAAAATTGACACCCCTAAATCGGTCCCTTAAGGCTTTAAGAGGGTTTTTTAGAAAAAGACGCATGTGCCCCTCTCACAATTTCTTGCGTTGAATTCCAACGACTTTGAAATTTCGCCTAATTTTGTCGTGTCGCATCGAAATACGTGCGACGCATCCGATCGATATTTTTTGGGTTTTACATCAAGGATAAATAATTAAATTTTGAATTTTAATATTAAAAAATTTTATATAGTTTTTAGAATTTTGACTTTTATTTTTAGGAAACATGTATGAGTTGATCTTGATCACTTATTGAATGTTCGAAGATAAAATGAATTAATGAAGGTGATTGGTACATTCATTTATTAGAGGCCAACCACCTCCTTTTTCTCCAAAAAAATTATCTTCTTTTAAGTGATGGAAATTATTGTAGGTCTACAAATAGTGCTGATATGCAATAAAATTTTTAACTTCATAATGATAAAAAACTTAGGAGAAAATTGTTCTCTTTTTGACTTTGCTTGGTTGCCTACTTTGACCAACCTTGGTGGATTATTTAGTCATCTTTTATGCTTATTATTACCCTTCTTAAATTTTCTGCTAAACCTCTTGATTAACTTCCTGTTAACCTTCATATCATACCCAAGAGATAAAAAAGAGGGAAGAAAGCTCAAAGCCAAATCCAGCGTACATACCTCAAAACCATCGGGTCCACGAATCCTGCCGAGGTTACGCTGATTCGGCGTCGTTCGCGATCGCTTCCCAGGAATTTCGCGATCCTACAGCGCCTCGATCGCGCTCCCGTAAGCGTCGTTAAATACCGAGGCAAATGAGGCCTTCGGCTGTTGCGATCTCTCACGACACTCTCACCCGATCCCTCTCTGCTCCCG